AAGTTTAGCAAAAAACAAAAACAAAAAAATAATATACTCATTTCACTTTCCTGAATGAGTATAATATAAATTAAAATGCTCTAGCCACATGCCACATGCCACGCCCCCTACTATATCCTGTCTAGCAGCAGCCGCATAAAACTCTCTTAGTTAATGTTAAAAATTCACATAGAAAAGCCAAGTGAAAATGAAAAAAAAAAATAAATAATAATAATAATAAAAATAAAATAAAATATTAAAAATATATATTAAATATAGAATTGTAAAAAAAAAAAAAACACAGAGAATATATGTTAAAAATGCCTGATAAATGAGAACATATATATACATATATGCATACATATATGTATATCTATATAAGGAGTTCTGTATTTTTTTTTTTAATTTGTGATTTTTTTAATTTTTGTTTTTTCTGTTGCGCTTTGAGTTAATGTTTTTAGCCTGCTTTCTTAAACTTGAAACCATTAAGTATAGTTTTTATGTATTTATATGTATAAAAATAAATAAAATAAAGAAGCAGAGTTATACAAATAAAAACAAAAGCATGTTAAAGAAAAAAAAAAAAAAAAAAAAAAAAAAAAATTAGCCAGCTAAAAGTCTAAGCAAAACTCGTTAAGTACTTTTAGAGACAAAGAAATAAAAATAAAAAATATTGTACTAAAAAAGAAAATATATACATAAAAATAAAACCGCATCATAAAGTAAACAAAAAAAAACTATATAAGTCGCTTTAACAAATATTAAAACATATTGCATAAATTATAAAATGTGAAATATTTTCTTATGTTCTAGACTTGTAAAGACATCATATAACCTATCTATGGAATTTTCTTGGTTCGTATTGCTCTAGGTTTTTAAAATTTTTCTGTTTATTATTTTTCGCCCCAAAACATAAAAAAAAAAAAAAAAAAAAACAAGAAAGAACTAAAATCTTATGCTGAGTATAACAAAAAATAAATACATTTAAACAAAAAGAAAAAAAAAGCGAAAAATACAAAGAAATTATGATAAAATAAATGAAAATGAATATATATAAAAAATTATATATATATGAATATTATATGTATAAAATAAATATGTTTAGTTGGTTGCTTTCAGCAAGTAGGTAAAGCAGTAATCTAAGCAGTTGCTATCGAGTGCACGAGCAATGGAGAGGCAAATAGATCAATCAACAACAACAATAAAACAATGACATTTAGTATGTATATATACATGGCCCGTGGATTTTTCATTTGTAGCAGTCAGAGCTTGAGAGCAACTCAAGCAGTGTACAAAAAATGGAGTTGGCTAAAAAGCAGTACAGCGCTTATAGTGATATTCGGAGTCACTGAACAGTGATCTGCTACATATCAAACAAGCAGTTCACTTACCAACATGCCAGAGTGAGAGAGATCACTTAACATAATAGATTCAACTTGCAACTCACCTCATAGCATCGAGCCTTTGACAGCAGCAAAGCTCGCCGAACCGTCAAGCTTATAGACATGCACCACAGCGCTCCGATTGGATTGCAGTCGCAAAGCTCGCGCTGCCAAATGCAGTCGTCAAAAATCCGCAGCAAAAATTAAAAAATCAATAAAAGGAATTGATAATCCAAAGGCGCAACTGCATTTAGAAAACGTGAAGAACTATGAAGTGGGAGAACTATTGTGATTTTGTGGCCGGCTGTGTCGGTGGTAAGTTTCATAGATTCCTTCAGTTTAGGGTTTTATGTCTTAAATGTGGCGCGAATATTGCGTCATTCGCGCAAAGACACTTGTTGGCGGCTCTGACAGCTACAGTGAAAACCAAGTTGGAGAATTGTTGGTTTGACGCTAATTGCATGAGTTGTGTCAATTGATGCTGTTGCTCTAAACAGTTTTTCTTGGACTAGGCGAAGTTTTACATGTGTTATTAGCTGTTCGTTATAGTGAGCTTTCACTGTAGCTGCCAACAGCGACGTCACGGTCAAGTTCACGTGTGTGGCGCCCCTGATCCGAGGCGTATTTTTAACGGTCGTAATAGAGAGCGGTGCGAGAGGAGAGGGCTAGATAAAGAGAAGAAAGAGAGCGATAGAGGAAGGCAGAGAGGAAGAGCGAGTGAAAGTGAATTAGAGAGACAGAGATAGCAATAGCAGTAAGAGATAGAAATATTGGGCAAAAGACAATTGAAATTCTTGGCAATTCGCCCGTTAATTATAATTTCTTGTATTTTCTTTAATTAATATTATTGTTGACTATATTTGAATTATGGCAAAAAAAAAAAAAAAAAAAAAAAAAACAGGTGCTTGCGGCGTTCTGGTGGCCCATCCTTTGGACACGATCAAGACGTGGCAACAGGCGTCGAACACGTCCGTCGTGACGGCCATCCATCAGATCTACAAGCGGAACAATGGGGTAAGCGATTGGCCCTCGGGTAGGAAACAGTTGACAACGCTTTAAAGATTAACGGTTACTACAGGGGCATGCTCTTCCCGCTGATGTCGACGGGCGCGATCAACTCGATTCTGTTCGGCATCTATGGCAACCATTTGAGGCAGCTGCGACGCGTCTGCCACAGTGACTACCAGCGGGAGCAGCTCGAGTATCACAACATGTTCCTGGCCGGATCGGTGGCTGGGTTCGTGCAGTCCTTCATCGCGTGTCCCATGGAGCTGATCAAGGTGCGACTGCAGACGCATTGCTGTAAGTAGAATGGGAATGGGGTTGAGGTCTACAGTGCTTACTCTGGCAATTCTTGGACTTCAGACTATAACGACTACCTCTATGGCCAGCGTAGAACAGCCTTCGGCACCTTCAAGCGCATAGTGAAGAACGACGGCATCTCGGGCTTATATCGCGGACTCTTGCCGATGATGTGCCGGTGAGTGGCGGGAACTCAGGTTAAGCTAAGTCTATTATATATATTTCCGATTCGTAGAGATGTGCTGCCTTATGGCATCTATATGCTGGTCTATCGCCATGCGTCACGCTACATGGAAAATTCGGAGTTTGTGCGCAAGCATCGGAAGGCATCGAATGCAATTAATATCAACTTGCTGATTACAACATTTGCCGGCGCCTGGGCGGGCGTGCTGTCGTGGGTGTGCGTGATACCCTTCGATGTGGTCAAAACCATAATGCAAGCGGATGAGAATCATAAATTTCGAGGCATAATGCATTGTGTTCAGGTCAACTATAGAGCGTATGGCTGGCGGAGTATTTTTCGTGGCAGTTGGATGCTGCTGGCGCGTGCGATACCCTTCAATGCGGCCACATTTTTGGGCTATGAGTATTCGTTGGAATTGTGTCATAATTATTAGAGATCAAATAAACAAAGCGCGGTTAAATTTCAAATGTATTTAAATTACTTAACAGCAAACGGTTAAGGCTTTTGCTGTTAGCGTTTACAGTGTGAAGAACTTTTTATGGGACAGTATTTTGTTTTAGCACTCCGGCAGCACCTGTATCTGTTAACTGTTGCTGTTACGAATGCAGCCTAAAATAATGCTTTAAAAATTTAAATGCAAATTTACCAAGCGCATAGCACTAAATCTTTATAGTACTATGTCAGTTTAGGTTTATTTTATAAAAAATATAGTAAATGCATGATTTGTTCTCAATTTCTGTTAACGCAAATTTGACGTATGTTAAGAGCGCATTTCAGCTGTCTGAATAACACAGCGCTGTTAACACAGCAAGAATTAACATTCAGCAATCGATAGAAAATTTTATATCGATAAAACATGGCGTTAAGGTCGGATTACGAGGTGAGCTGAGCGCAATAAATAAACTAAAATTTTATAATAAAACTAAGTTAATTAAGGCTAAAAAATAGTGCAAACAATTGTTGACATATATTATGATAAGTGTGTGTAAAAAAATGTGCAAAAGTCCAGTTGAAATGTGGCTAAAACTATGTTCGAGTTTTTCGAGGTGTGTGTTTGACGGTAGAGCAACAACAACAACAGTGCTGAGCGGGCGTTTTTTTTTTTAATGGAAAAATCGAAACTCTAATATGTGTGTGTGTGTGTGTCAGTGTGTTATTGGTTTTGTTGGTAGTGTACGCTGCAAGCCGACGCCCTTAGGCGACGCCAGGCTTATTAATTTGTTTATGGCTGTTGTTTTTCTGGTAGTCTGCAAGTGTAAATTGGGTGGAGACGTTGCAGCGCTTTTTATTTGATCCTATTGGATGGTTTAGCTGACACAGCCTAATGTTGCTGATGCTGTTGTTGTTCTTGTTGTTAGCATGATCAATAATATGAAGTTGGCCCAGTGTGTCTTTGCAGCAAGCTGGTTTTTTTAATGTTCTTTTCATGAGCTGTCTTTCGCTCGTTCGCTTGTTCGTTACACTCTCTCTGTCTCTCTTTGCCGTGCACTCTCTTCACTGCTCTCTCCGTGTCAGCTCAGGTGTGGTGCTCGTTGGCATTCGGATTGTGGGCTCGTGTTTGATCGGCTTAGTTTGAATCGCTTTATATGTAGCGCACTCTTCGCATTCACCTGGCCGCCACTTTCGCTTACGCGCACATTTTGTTGTTGTTGGTGGTTCTTTGCTCCGTTCATGCGCAAAGCTCAGCTGCTCTTTCCAGTCGCCCTGCTCCAGTGCGCCTGCTCTGCCTCTCTGGCGTTGCCTATGATTGAAAGCTTTCTGCTTTCCAGATTGGAAAAGTTTGTTGTTGTTGTTGTTGATTTTTGTCTCGTATTATGGCTTACATAACCGGTACATTTCCAGCAAGCTGAGGGCTGTTCTCTCTGTCCACTGTTGGCATGCAATCGACATACTGCCACGCCTCCGTGCCCAATACGCCTCAGATTCAGTGGAAACATGTTTTTACCATTGGAATCTCAGACCCAGTCCGAGTCCAAAGAGACACCCAATAGAAACAACCCTCTTTCTCTCTTTATCTGCTTCTTCCTCGCCTCTCGCTCTTCTTTTGCTTGTTGAGCACTTTTTTTCTTTGAAGCTTTTTATCATTTTTTTCCGGAATCGGTGTCATTGGGGCGCGTCATGCCCTGCTAATTATAAGCAAATGTATTTTGTTCCTACTTGTCTTCAGTTTCCTTCTCCACATCTCCTCTGTTCTCTTCTCTTCTCTTTTGATAATCATATCAAAAAGTTGCCTTTGGTCGGTCCGATGACTTAATTACGGAGCAAACCTTGATTTAATGCCCTTAAGCTGTGTCCTTTGTGTGTTTGTATATACATAGGTAGTAAAATGTTTTTCCCAGAAATTTATTAAGATTCTATTTGTTGACATTTCTTTTAGATAGCAACTAATTATATTCGAGGTTTTCTAGACTGTTTATCTGCATCCAGCCAAAGTATTTTTCCATCGATTATTAGTATCAATCTTCGTCAATCTGTATACATAAAAAAAACTCAAAACTTAGTTCGTTTAATTTTGTTCAACAACTTGCTCCAATTTGCGAGTGTCTACTGTAATATATGTTTTTTTCACGCACATCGGTCGCATTTGCAAGTCGAAACATAATTTAGCTGCCGCATGGCATGGCATAATTCAGCCACGCCCCCTGCCTAACAGCCCCCCTGACTACTGTTTCGCATGCTGAGTCATGCGCTTTCAATTTGAATCAATTTAGATGAGGGAAAGAGAGAGAGAGCGAGAGAGAGAGAGAGAGAGGGGGAAGCAAAGCCACAAAAAATCAAGACTGAAACTATAATCAGATAATTTGGCTGCTGTTTTATATACAGAGCTGTTCCCTAGAACTTTGAGTATATATAATAGGAGCAATTGATAAGTGAATGCTATAGTGGGCAGGGCTCGACTAGGATATACCCGGAATCCCCTTCCTCTGCTGTTGCTGCGAATATTCTAGATAACAACATGAAACATACTCCAGCTGGGCGTGTTATAGGAGTGTACAACATGTGTAAGATGTGATGATGTTAGCTTCAATAGGTTCTAATATACAGCCAGACGGAAAGTATAGGCAAATAAAGTCAGTTAATAATTGGCTAAATTGTCTCGACTCTTGCCTTTATTGCCGAATATATGTACATGTATTCATATGCTCTTCGTGCGTCATAAGTTTTAGAGTGTATAAACCGCAAAATACTAAGTGCTATGCTAATTTCTAATATGTGGTACACTCTATATAAATACATCAATTATCAAATGAGCTTTGCTCTATGAGTCAGAAAATTAAAATAAACGCCGTTGAAGTCTTGTAAGTGGAAAACTAATGAAAATGTTTCGTTGTTCAACTTTAATGAGATTCAGCAGACAGTTTTTGAAAGGGGGGTATAACTGATATTAAAGGAGAAAAGAAATGGAGTTAGAGTTTTATAGATGAATAAAAAGATAAATGATTCTCTGATAGATTAAAGATTTGTAATAAATTTAAAACACTCTGACAACATAGAACTGTCATTTCAAAATAATTTATTGTTATTATATTCCTTAAAAAATATCTTGATCTACGTGCTCTAAAATAATTGAAAACCCTATCGAAAAAATCAGTTATAATTCTACTGCTAAGTAAATTTTAATCAAATATTGTTGACCTAATGCATTATTGACTTGAGTCTTACTAGAGTTTTATACGAATACTTATGAACTAAGTACTAATAGCATGTGGGGGGCTGGTCTAGACTCTATCAAAATGCTGATTAGCTGTTGTTGTTGTTGTTGTTTTCGTCTCTCTCTCTTGGCTGGCTTGGTCGTTTGGCGTACGACGATAATAGACTGGAAAATACTGGAAAATAATTTTTTGCATCGGCTTTACCAGTGCCGTGTCTTGTTTTAGCCGGTGCCACAATCAAAGTGTGTCAACAAATTAATAACGGCACTTTAATTCAATTAAATGCCAATAAAAATCTAATCAATTGTCTATTTAAAGACATACAAAATAACAAATATGCCGCAACGATCTCTACGTGAACTCGAGCACAGATGAGCAGCTGAGCCGCTGATTAGAGACTCTCGAAATACCCTATAGATATGTTAGGGCTTATTTAATTTAAACGAACAAAACTCTTGAAATTATAAGTAGATTATTATTGTTAGTAATTATTATCATAAATTGTATTACTATTATTATTAAAATATTACAAAAGATGATTATATTCAGTTAAAAGTATGACTAAATAATACTATAGTTATTTCACTCATAGAAAAAATCTCTTAAAGGTTTAAGCTGTTTATTAAAATATAAACAAATTTGCTTTCGGAAAAATTCGATAATAATCGATATACAATTTCTTTTCTCACTCTATGAATATATTTGGCAAACATGTCACATTCTGTATGCTATATATGAAAATTAACAGCTATGTTGCTTTACTTTTCGTAATATCTTCTTCACTTACAGAGTGTGTTGTAGTCTGTCAAACTCTCCAGAGACCTGCTTTACATACATCTGTAAATTATTCATTAGATGTTGACTGCTTGTTGCCTTGCCAATTGATTGCACCTCAGGTGCTCGAGCACCTGTGCACAAGGACTTGCACCTGCCGCTGTTAATTCATGTGCTACCTGTGTGATGCATGTGCCACATGATTTCCACTTGTATGCAATTGCATAACTGACTTGTTAAAGCAAAGTAGAGTACATATACAATTATCTCCTCAGCTGGCATCACGTTCTCGTGTTATCAACACGATTTCGACACCTGTAGATAAGCTCATTTTCTGCACTGTGCCACGCCTGCACAGTGTCTCATTCAGTGCGAATCGATGAGACGCACCTCGAGACGGCGGCGGCTCAAGCGAAAGGTCGCTGTGACGACCCTGCCTGTGACGACGCTTTGTCATGTTTGTCCATCGGTTATCGGCAAGAAGAAGAGATTAAGAATAATAAAAAGAGCTCAAATGTAGAGTCTGTGTGTGTGACTGGGTCAAGTATTTGCAATTATGTGACATATGGATATATATATAGTAAGATGTGTAAAGGTTTTCGTTTTTTAGGGTACTTGAAATTGAACTTTGTTCTAGCTAAAGGTCATATGAGATTGAATCGATAGACTAAAGTCGAAATCTATAAGAGATATGAGATGAGCAAAGTAAATAAGATACAATATATAGTAATACTATATAATATACAAGATCTTTTGAGAATATGCTCGAGGTATATATCCATATTTCAAGTTTCAAGTTTCTCTATTGATCTAGCGAAGCACAGATTGATATGCCCTTACCTTAAGAGTGAGTAATTACGCTGATCAAGACAAATGTAGTCTATGAGAATAACTACCTATAAGAATTTAGTCAAATATTACTCATTTGTAGTCTTATGTAGAGATCGCTACAATTGAAGTAAACTGCAAATATGATCAACTTATCTTATCACTTAAAAGCAGACGTATCTTTCTTGACCAGACATTTTATACTATATACTGCATGTGTATCTAGCCATATGATACTTCACTGTCTGATAATAAAGTCAACAATTCGACTGATTTTAAAAGTTAAATTTGTAAAATGTAAGAGAAGAACAGTTTACAAGGAAGTTAGGAAAAGTTAGGTTGAATATATTAAATTTATCACTTTTTTTTTGAGTATATATATTTGATAGATAATAGTTATAGTTAGATAGACAGACATCTATTTCTATAAAAGAAGCTTATTCTTGAAGAGAAAAGAGAGAAATTTATATTCTCAGATATGTTTTGATATATCCCCTATCTATCGATATAGTTTAAGTACTTAAGACTTAAATAGGATGAATTCTTGCATACTTTGTAGAGCTTTTGCTAAGTTTTTAATTTCTGACCGGTTCAAACAAGCCAGCTGCTGTTCGCTGTAGCTCACAGCTAAACTCGAACTTACACACACTCGCACACACACAGTTTCAGCTGATAGACACGCATTGTTGATGGCATCAGACGAGAACAATTACCGCAATTTGTGAGCATTGCTTGTGGGGGAGTCAATCACTCAAGTTGAGATTTATAGCGAAAGAATTCGCAAATGACAAGAGAGAAAGAGGGGAGAGAAGAGAACTAATAACAAAGAAAACCCAATGCCGATAGCCGAACTTTTTAAATATTTATGATTAACTGCAGATGTTTGGGCCAAATCAAGTGAGGGCAGACTTTTATGGCTGTTGCTAAGAGTTGAAATAGATTCGATGTTGATGAATGTGTGTGGATCTGTAGAGAGTGCTCGACTAACAGATACTCTGCTAGTTAATGTTCTGGCTATATGTCACTAGTGAAGCAAAGCGAGGAACATTTATATAGGAGAGTTAATTAATAGGCATATAACTTAACAAACACAACATGTTCGACTGTCAGATACCCTATATACAAATATGCTATCATAGAAATATGATGATAATGATATATTTATAATGAGTTCTATTCTTGACATGACAATAAAGTAGATGCAAGGTGAAAGAATTTACTATATACTTTCAACTTTCATGTATGTAGGGTATAAAGAGAGCCATGGCAAATACACATTTGCCTCTTGGCCTTGTCTAAGAAGTGTTGAATGTAAAAACTTGATAATGCCCACTTTAGTACTATATTGAAATATATATGTATATATGCACACATATCTCACATTGATAATGCGAACAATTGACATGGCAGTTGATGCAAGACAACTCGGAAAGTCGTTGGGCATGAATGTATCTCAATTGTGCATAAATCGCCTTCTGTGCCACAGTTTGTCGCACTTGGCATCTTTGCAACTGCTACATAAATTGTCATATTAAACTTTTATTTAATTTAATGCCACACACACACACACACTTATACACATGTACAGCATCCAAATTGTGACACTTGCTAAACACACAGATAGAATGTTTACACTTGTAGATACACAGATTGAGATACAGATACAAATACAAATACAAAAGATGTGCCTGGCCGCAATTTGTTATAATTTAAATACAATTCAATGCGAGTAGCTGCTGACGTCGATCTCTTCCACTCATCATATTTCCTTCCAAACAAATCACAAAAAAAGAGAAGAAGATGATGAAGAATATTATGGAATAATTCTGAAAATGATAATAATGACAATTATCTATCTTACGATCTTAATTAAACAAAATATTGTTTAGAAAAGGATTAATGGAAGAGAAAGTGAGGAGAGAGAGGAGAGAGGTAAATAGAGAAAAGGGAAAATAAATAAGAATTACAGAGAGCAACTATGAAATTTGATGGGGACAGCAATTAGGGAGAATGAAAGAATGTATAGAAAAAACAGAGTATTTCTATACAGAGCAGAGAAAGGCAAACAAATAGAGAGAGGACAGAAAGCGAAAGAGGGAGGGAGAGAGGAAGAACTGATATACAACTGATATATACAATGATATACCGAGAGATGAGTCAAAAGAAAGTGAGAGTTAAAATAAGGAGAGAATGAGACAGAGACTAATTATACGCAAAGATATTATATTGCATGCAGTAGATCTATTTGCCATAATAATCTACATAAAATGTTATATTCCCTGGTATTATTGTTACTCAATAAATAAATCACGACTTTTGCTTGCTCAGTATCTCATATTTACGTATGCGTAGCGAAATATAAATAATATTTATCATGTTTGACAATCTCTTAACGATAAGTCATAACGTAAGTAACTGTTTTGATTGCTGTTAAATTATTTTTGTTATTAAACAATCGAATCGGAATCAGCGATAAGACGTCGTCCACAATAGTCAAATGTGTGGCGGAATCACTTGAGTGTAACTGGTTTGCGCACTTGGCTCGAACTAGTTGCGTCATCAATAGATAAGCTCTATCTATATAAATCTGGCAATAATTTGGACTATGGAAACGTGATTCGGTTTCCAGGCCACAAAAACTCGACGGGATATGGACAAGGTTGTCTTTCAATTTGTGCGGTCTCTTAATGCGTTTTTAATTCCATTTTCCCACCATTTACAATCCTAGAGATGTCTGCCAATGTATGTGTGTGTCTCAATTAGAATGTGTCAGCATTTGCCGACTTTGGCTCTGACTGTCGCTTGCTTAGTCTGCTTAAATAGGTTAACCCACACATGACCATCAGTCGAAGCAGTTAATTGCTCTAATTTAGTGGTATACCTTTAAGATAGTCTATCTGTAATACTTGTCTATACAAAAAAATAAAAAAATAGAAACAATAGTATTCTATTTAGTATTTGAATCAAGTGGAAACTTCCACATCATTCCCAACGTAGGGAATGCTACATATATCAGAAATTGTTGAGCTATATTTTGTATTCTACTTTATTTTGTTTGTCGGAATAGGCTATCTCAGTTGTTATCTCTGCGTGTGGCTCGCACAAATACTCTGGAAATAACTGGGTATCATGTTTAGCAGTGCTACCTATAAGCTTAATTAAACGTGCTTTATGATAAACAAATATGACTTATCAGCAGATATATTAAGTACTCTCTAAATGGGATTTTCGACCAACTAGCAACAAGACAAATCTCCATTAAAACCATGTAAATTCTATAGTATATACAAAGAGAGAGAGAGAGAGAGTGAGAATAAAATGCCAGAATCAGAGAAGAAACAGAGACATAAAACAAGATAAAGATAGATTGATTGTATTGATATATCAATTATAGAGATATAATACAAGATAACGAGAGAGATTGTATTGATTATACATTTCGAAAATATTCTGCGTTTGTAATACTGTTGAGTGGAGTAAATACCCAAAAAAGGATTACTAATTGATCTGAGTATCCTTGCAATATCCTCCTCAACTACTTTTTCTGTAATTAATCTGTATATACAATATACTAATCTGTAAAAACTCTTTTCTTTTCATTCATAACGAGTAGAAAGACCGAGAAATTAGTTTCTAAGTCAGATCTAAAAATTTTCCCATCCAATCACAATGGACGTGTAGATGAAGAAGAAGAAGAAGAAGTGAGCACACACGCGCTGAGTGCATATTACTATACAGGGTATCCATTTGTGTGTGTGTGTGTGCCACTTGGCTCTTTGTTTAGTTGCTGGTGTGTGTGTGTGTGTGTGTGTGTATAGAAATATATGCACACATATTTTAATTTTGATTAAAATTTATTGCGCCACTCAAAAGGCAGCGATGTACGAAAACCCGCCGCCCACCAAGAAGACAGCAGCAGCAACAGCAGCGAGAAACTATCCAGGCGAACAGCCTGTCTGTCTGTCTGTCTGTCTGTCTGTCTGCCAGTCAGGCAGTCAGTCTATGGCACACGTTTTCCATTGCCTCTGACTGGATCTTTGTATATATATATATATACATTAAGCCGACGTCTCTGGGCAATTGGTTTTTTCCGGGGGCATTTCATTCAGGCGACTGTCTTAAGGTTTTCGTTTCTTTAACTGGAGGTCTCCAAGCTGAATAGCGCAAATTAAGCGAGCGAGCTACACTCGTAAATCTATTGTCATAACGCCTACGAGCAACGACTAGACGATCTACAATACATATGTGTGTGTATATTTGTGTGTGTCTGTGTGTGTGTAGATGCTACATCCAGTGGCATCATAGACCATCTATCCAGCTGTGCGATGGCAAAAACACATTTTAATCAGTGCTCAAGTACAAAATACCAAGTCCGAGCGCCATAGTTCATTCGCATCATATACATAGATACATATAGGCATGCATACATATATACATATATATTATGTATGTGTAGTTATATATCCATACAATTCTATGTTGATTATGCTGCACTGGGCTGTCTGTGATTTGTGTCGCTGTCATTTGCCATGGTCATGAACACAATTAAACAAAATATACCGCCCAGGCGCTTATGCAATTGCCATAAGAATCTAAGTGTATGATAAATATATTTACATCTATATCTATACATTGTCTTTGCTATATTCAAATATATTTTCCAACTATTAGGTGTGACCTTTTGCTCTCTATGTTTCTCAGCTTGATATCGTTTCAAATTTTCTGAAATTTTTTAATCAATCTGCTCATAAATAATACGAATATTACACTAACATATGCAGTTTGACATTAAATTTGTTTCTTCTGAGTTTTGGTAAGGGCCAGCCTTGGTCTCCTATATGCCCTCTCTCTGTCTCTCTCTCCCTCTCTCACACTATCAAATCTCTCTTGAATCTTTTTTTCCGCATTTATAATGAAAATCAGAAAGAATTCTCATTTCAAGCTTACGCCATCTTCCTATCGCCCTTCCGCATCTCTCTATCTAACGTTCATAAACGTATATCTCATATAGTACTGTACTAACTCAATTCGAGCTTATCATTGACAAATACTAAAATGTTTATATTCCGTTAAGGTAGAATGTAACTTTATTACGTTTACATTTGTACACATCTTCAAACATTTGTAACAAAACAATTCACACTGAGCAGCTCTGTAATGGCAGCTTCCCCTCAATAGAATTGTTCCAATTGTTGTTGTGGTAATTAACGTAGCTCGTTTAGTTTTAGCTACGTTCCGTCAATGTGAATTGCACGTTTTTCACACGGCAAACGCGGCGTATACGTAATGTGCGAATGCAGCCAACAGAAAAAGTGAAAAAAGTAACAGGAATATAAATCGAACTACACTAAATGGAATTCAAAGCATATGAATTGGTTATATCATCAAAGGTCTTTACAACAATGTGGCCATTGTGTTCCAAACTATTTGCTTAGCTTAAAAGTCATAATTGAATATTTAATACAAAATACCAGACGGAGAATATATATGTATATTCATACAGAAATATGTATATATGCTTGATGCTTAACAACATTTGGATTTCTTAGGCTTATTGATTTTCCAAATATTTATTTGGCAAAAGCTGTCTACGTTGATACCCTGTAACAGATAGATGAATAGGGTTCTATAAATATATTTTTAGAGTATAAAAAAAAGAAGAAAATAATAGCAAAATATATATATATATATTTCTAAGATAATAATATTGTTTTCAACTAAATAAATAAATAAATTCAAGGAAATATTATGGAATAGAATAGAAACAATTAAAGTGGAAAATAAAAAATATTTATAAAATATAGGAATATAGAAATTGAATATGATTCTTACTCTGCATTATATATATAGGGTATCTATAAGCAGAATACACAAATATTTCACAGTTCTAGAAATCGAACTTGTTAATAGAACTGCTGAATAGTACACCCCCTTTCTTCGAGGTGGCTCGCATCCTGATAGGCCTCAGGGCATGCTGAAGTAGTTCAGTCGAAACTAGATCATTTGCCACATGCTTAAAGTGCCGTCTCGTGTGACTTGTGTGCCACAGACACGTGCAGCAGGCGTGACTGCGAGTGCCAACCCTTAAGTTGACTCAGTTTATACTTACATATATACATAGGTCTCTAACTGTATATCTGTGTATATATCTATTCTATAGGCAGACACGCCTGACAACAGTGTGTGTGTGTAATTCAATTGCAATACCAATAACAGAAAGGCGAATATGATGAATGATTCAAGATATGCGATACATAGTATAATAGGTATTCGTAGATATAGCTGCATATCTCTAGACAATTTTAATCTATATAGAATTGCTGACGTCAAGGTGCTGAACGTGGTAATACCTTGTTGTAGTACTCGAGTCGCCTTGTCATTTGACCATTTGTCAGCTGAAGCTCGGGCATTATTGCCAACTATCGACTATTTACATAAGCAACTGTTTTCACGAGTTACTTTGTATCGGACGGGGGGCACTGGCGGCGGGGTTCGAATGGCGGCGCTCGTTTTGGGGTCACAGCTGCATATATCGTGTCAAAGTATTTACCAACACACGCAGATCACTTAGTGTGTGTGGGTGTGTGTGTTGTGTCCTTACATAAGTTGTATTTTACTATAGAGGACAAAGAAAGAAAAGGCTCCTCATGTATTCTCTCTCTCTCTCTCTCTCTGTGTCTCATGCCCTCTCTCTAGCATAGTCCATTTGGCCTGAAGCGCCGGCAGCGACGTCCACTTAAAGTCCATGCGTCTATTGTTTGTTTATTTGCTTGGCCTTTTAAGTGACTTACAGTGAAGCTTGGACAAGTAGGACAGCACAAATATTATATAATAAGAAAAGTTATACAATATATAAAGCTGTAAAATGCCTAAAAGTTGGCAAAGTTAAAAAGAAAAATATAAAAATAAAATGTTTTCAGTGAGTTACAGTAAAGCATGCTAGATAAATATCAAAAATGTTCTGTTTGGTATAAAATGATAGTAATACTAAGTATGAATGTGTATAAGAATATATTAGCAAAATAGAATAACTTAATAAAATCATATAAATAATAACAAATCTATACATTTCCTATAAAAACATTAAAACGTTTTCAATCATCGAGTGAGCACTGTATAGGAAAGCTCTATATAACATTTCTAGGCAATTTTCGTGCTTATCTAGATGCTATCCACGCTCCACAAGCCACAAATCTGTAATTCATCATCAAGAGCCTTTGCTTGGCTTAATTTCAGCTAAGCTGCTTTTACTGTGGCTTGAAACCCTGTTAGCCAGTATTTCTCTTTTTTTTCGCTGCGATATCTCTATTGATTTTCTGTTAGGGTTTTGTGTTACTTAAACAAATGTGTGTGTGTGTGTGTTTGTCTGTGTGTGTGCTACTGCTGCTGCTGCTGACATTTAGTGTAATTAGACTTACTCGCATTCGTAATCGAGCTGAAGCACCCAAAATAGCAAAAGTTGCCAAGCATAAGATGTCCTCGCTCGAAACAACCCCACAACCAAACGTATAGAAATTGAAGAAGCAGCAGTAACTGCTGACATTTATATTACGCTTGGATGTGGCGTTTTGTCCCTTTTTTTTTGAAGAATGGAGGCTATGCTTGACATACTGTGTGTAACTGTATAATTAACATCAGTGACGTCATCGCTGGCGGCGCTCGATAAACGATTAAAAGTTGAGGACATGACAAATGTGAGCAGTAAATGCCGAAAACTCAAAATATAGCTGTGTCCTTTGTGCTTTTTTTTTTTACTCATATAGCCTGCTTATACAATTCATGCAAATTCGAACTGTTTCGAAAATCGCCTGACTGACACACATTCCTGCGCACCAGTTACCTCTCTCCAGCTCACTGTCTCTCTGCCTCTCTCTCTCTCTCTCTCTTTCTCTATCGCTCTGTCTGTCTTTTCGGTTATCTAAGTGCTGCTCCAGTTTCGAAGTGCTCGCACCACTGTGCACATTGCCTGCCTCACTTGTCACAGTGCCATACATTCGCGCGTCGCGTTGCGTTGTGGGAGAGTTCCGAAAGCTTCTCTAATACACATACACACGTACACATTCATAAGTACGCATGCAGCCGAATGTACACGGCAGAGGAGCGAAACATCTGGCAGACGAAAGCTCCGAGCGAATTATTCGAATTCGACGCCGCGTTAGAACAAAAATTTCGCTAAACGAAAGCTTATTCACTCGCGGCATGCATGACTATTTTCAGTCGAGCGTTGTTACCGAACTAGGAAGGTCGGTCTAACTGTAGTAGCTACACTGAGCTCTCGTCTCTCTGTGTGTCGGGTGGTACAGCCAGTGTGCGCCAGTACAAGTACACAGCTCTACAGCTCTCCGCTCTGCCCGCCGCCTTCGTAGCGCTGGTGTGCTGCTGCTTACACAATAACTGTGCATCGATAAAGAAAAGAAGAAGCACACAGGATACGAATATATATATAAATATAAAAAAAAAAACCCAAACTCTTAAGCTGTTCACAGCTTAACGAGTGTTAAAAAAAAAAAACGTGTGTGATTTGTTGTTGTTTCGTCTAAGAAGCAGCATTTGAAGTGCAATAATTAGTTTGAAACGGGGTAGTTTTCTGCGAAATACCCCCGCAACGGAAAGATATTGTGTAATAGCCCTCGCCGTGTAAAAGGTAGACACATCCAACACTTAACAAGAACCCTTTACCTTTTATTATCATTGTTGTCGTTGTCGTTGCTGTTGTTGTTGGTCTTACGACTGCAGTGGAAGACCCTAGAAACATACTACATACTACACTAAAAGAAAAAAAAATTAAGAAAAGAGAACAGCAAGAAAGAAAAGAGAAAAGCCAACGACAACGTCCTTGTACAAAATCGATTTTCCAAAACTTCAAGCCAGCCGTAATGGATACGTATGTGATATACACACATATACAAATACATATATATATATTTATATATACGTGTGTATGTATATGCTAGTTGAAGTGCTTTGCAGAATTACATGAGCATTATCGTAATAAACAATAATTTGTGAGAGTGTATTTATAGTAGATGTGTGTGAGAGAGTGTGTGTTGCTTTTTCCAACTGATGTATTCACAATTGCAATTTGATTTGGCACACATATGATTTTGCCATATACAAAATTAACACATCCATACATATTTACATATATGTATGTGTGCATATATCATTTTCATGCACATTATATATGTACCTGTCCCACTGTTTGTCAGTTTGTCCAACTGTGTGTGGCAATGAAATCGTTTGTATTCAATTGCGGCGATTTCATTTTGGAATAGTAGCAATTTCCTGGCCACCCCAAAAAAAAAAAAAAAAAACATAATGGGATGCCTGTTTGCCCCTATATATATGTATACAATGACCACCCGCCGTTGGCTATTTCATAATTCTGTGCGCTTTTGTACGGGAATGGGCAGTCAGAAAGCATCTTGGACTAAAAAGCAATAAAAAAAAAAACACTAACTATGTTTCCTTTTACATTACGTTTCGCATAGCTCTTACATATTGTGCTCTGTGCTCTGTTCTCTGTGCTATGTGCTCTGAACAGTTGTAGCGCTCATTTTCGAACTGCTGGCGATTGCACTCGATTTCGAAAATCACGCGCCTCTCTGCACTCACAACTACACAACCACACACTCGCAAACGCATGACTGTCTCTCTCTCTCTCTATCTCTTGCTCTTTTGCTCTTGTCTATTCGGAGTTCACATCCTTCTGCCAGCTAGTGCTGGTACTGCTGCTGCTGCTACTGCTGGCTGCAGTTTGTATTCCAGTTCTGCTGCCATTTCCAATTTCCCATGTATGCTCATGCTCTCCGCGCTTCCAGGCTTTTGCAGCCAATGCGGTCGGTCCACTTGCTGCTTTGCCGCCTTGCGCTGGCTCCTGCTGCCTTCCAGGGTCGTCGTTTTTTTTCCTTTTTTTTTGTGGTTTGCCTGCAGATTGTTGCATAAGCTGAAAATCATCCATATATTCCTAACTGTTTTTGCCTGTTCTTATTTTCATTTGTTTGTTCTTCAGTTTTGTCTGCGTTATTTTTTTTTAGTTTTGTAATTTGTTTTACGTTTTACCGTTACTTCATCAACTTATTACAGACGTTATGAGTTATAAGGTGGGTAAAAAGAAAAAATATATTGAATTTGTCTCATATCGAATGTGTTAATATACATATATTTTCATTTCATTATTTATTTTAAATTAAGTTTATTTAATATTAAATTTAAAAAAAATTCTTTATAAGTTATTAATAAGTTTATCAGGCCTTGTAACAATTCCCATGATCCCAGATTCTCTGATTGTAAATTGAAATTTACAAGCAACTTAGATTTACTTTTTTGTAAACTCAGGAAACACTTCGTATTTATTTAACAGTATTTGCTCGCATGTTAGATTAAGATATTTAACATTTAACTAAAGCTTTGTAAATTTCTGTAAACGATTAAGAAATAAGCAGACGCAGACAAAGCATGCTAAACAATTAGCATTCAATTGTTAAAACTTGGCCTGTAGGAATGTGAGATATCTAGCTAGCCCTATGTGGAAAAGCACAGCAAAAAACGTGTTTCCACTCGAGTTAACAAGCGGCTGGGCTGATGTTGTCTGGTCAGCACTGAAACGCGTAAGATTAGATACGATTTGTAACTGGTTTGGAACAGTTTCGAAATGAGTGCCCATCACAACTGACCCCCGTCCACCCCATCAAAAAGTTCAAGCGGTGCGCATTGATAAGCTCGAACAGCTGTCGCTGCAGCTGTAAAAGTTATACTCTGTATGCAGATATGCATAGAGAGTATATTGATATTGAGTGACATAACTTTTATACAATACTTTACTTTATTGCTTACAATTTGCATCTGGGACTTACTCAGATCGCACTCCGAAACAAGGAGAGGCGAAGATCGAGCGAGCGACAGATTTAGATTTATAAATCTGCTGTGATATGCACTTTCGCTTAGCTACAAATTTCAATTGAAATTGTTTACAATTGTCGTTTTCATTGTGCGGCTTAATTTGCTTGACTTATTGCGGATTATACCTAGTACATACACATATACACAGTGTTCATTCGCTAAGTAAATCGGCAGAAGTAAGGTAAACAATTTCCTTGCTAACTCAAATTACAAATACTTGATCGCTAACGCCATTCAATCACAAATCATGTCGAATCACAAGATTCGTCGTTTTGGTGTCTTTATAGTGTGTACCCACTGTATTTGAGTTTTTGCATTGATTGAACAATTAGCGTGTCGTGCTTTATTTGTCTGGCCGAGCACTGTCAGAGAGGCTGTCAATTCAGTTTCTACAATTTCTTTTTTTTTTATCGCACTCTCGACTTTTGCATCCATCCGATAACTGTTCTTTTTTGTTTTTGTCTATGCTTTATGCCCATTTGTTGTAAATTGATATTCAAGTTCAAAATGGCAAATGCTTTGCGCGACAAAAAGTGCGCGCCAAATGCTTTGGGACAAGCAAACATACAGATACAATTGTATCTGTGAGATACATTTGTATCTGAGCAGCTTAATTGGCTGCGTTATGCAAACAGCTTTCAGTGTGCTGTGTGTGTGTGTGTGTGTGTGTGTGTGTGTGAGTGTATGTGTTTGTCAAATGCTCTATTGTCGCATTTTGATTTATATCCCAAACATCCTGGGGGCTGGCCCCATCCAGAGCGTTTCTCTAATTGTTTAGCTCAGCTTTTCATCAGCCCAGTTTGCTATTCGTTTTTTTGCAAACACAATTTTCGCGATTTTCTATGGGCGCTTTTCAAATCTATCGAACCGTGAAAGCTAACAATCGACTAAACTTAAACAATATATTTAAAAAAAAAATTAAATTAAGATTAATTTAATTTGTTCAGGAAAATAGAAATTAGCGCCAGTGCTTAAAGACTGTGGGAGCTAATAAAAAAAAGGGTTAGAGTCGGCAGAGCCTGACTAGAAAATAACCGAATGGATGGATTATAGGAGGAGGCTTACTGATTTCAGAAATTTTATCTATGACCCCGCGTAAATGTTAACAATTGTTTGCACCAAATTTAAGTATACAAACTAAGTTTAGGTTTACATTTAAGATATACATATATGAAACTAACATTATCCTATATTACAATTCTTTTCTATGCAGATTGTTTAGCACTTAGAACACAGCAGATAGAACAAACCAATTTACAATTTGTGCAAATTAAGCAGCACCGAAGAGCGAATTTGTGCGAGACAAAGTTAACAGAGAAATATAGAAAAAGTGCGTAAGCAGAACTGATCTATAAATAGTTATGTGTCCAGAAATGCCAGCAAAAATCTTAACATTTATTTCAAACTCAAGAGTCCAAGTGAACCTGAAAAAAAATCATCGATTTTTTAACTGATTTTGCCGGCACGCACGACAGGTTTTGCACTGATCGGCACATTGATCCCACGCGAACTCTCTGCATACATTCACTTATATATATGCATATACATGTGTATGTATATATATAGATATAAAGCTGTGTGTACCATACGTATACCAAATGTATTATATGTAGCTCTCGCTCGCATATTCTCGTTCTGTTTTTTTTTTTTTTACTCTCTGTTTGTTTAATTACTTGGCATGCTCTTACGAACTTGCATGAGTTATCAAAAAGAGACTACAGATATATGAGTATATGTAAATATATATATCTATATATAATTCTCTTTTTGTTTTTGTTGAATTGTTTATTTATTTATTTATTTTGATGGCCTTTCAAAGGTTCACGATTGCATAAGTCTGCCAAATACCCATAAAGCATATATATGAATATTTTCATAATTATATTGATACTATATACCATATAAATAACTATATAGATATAATCGACCTATCTCGGATATATCTCTGCTCCCTTGCTTATTACATTTCCCATAAAATCACATAGATTATGTCTGATTTATAAATATGATGTCTAGGTCAAGTACATAGTTCTCTCTTTGTATTTGTAACTTTTTTGTATACGGCCCAAGATTTCATATATATTTCTCATATACAATTTCTCATATACAAAAATTGCTTAAAAAATTGATTTTTCCAAATTTATGCGCTCTCAATTCGCTCGAAATTTGTCTGCCCTAGAGTATTTATAGTTCGCTCAAATATAGATAACTTTTTCATATATTTATTCTTCTTTTTGTTCCAAATTTGATAATTCTCTATTTATTTGCTTACGCTGTGATTCATTTTTGGCGCATTTGCTGATAAGGCAAACTCATTATAGGGTGCTCTATAATTTACGTCAGAGCCGAAGCCGTAGCCCCCTATGTGTAGGGTATTACTTGTGCTGGGCAAAGCCGCAATCAATTGGCCTTCCCAGACGCACATGCGGCACATGCGCGCTTTAGTGCTACAATTCCACTTTCCAGTCACTAGCTATAATTTTCTTTCTCTAAAAATGACATGACTCACATTCATATAGACGAGTTCATGCTAGAACATAAATTAATAAAATATATTTAGATAATAATTCTTAAGTTACTATCATAGCCTTATTTATAGTTCTATGTATTCCAATATTATTCATCTGTAATGCTTGTTGTTATCATTTGATCATTTATATATAAATCTATATTTTATTTTTCTGCATTGTTCGATACGTTTTGTTTTTGATTTGTATTTCGTTGACGTCCATCACATCAATCAACATCCATCAATCCAAATACCAATATCAGCCGCATCTAGAGAGAGCGGACTCCTATCGAGTCGCCACGGTTATTGCAACCGATGACGACAATCGCACAGCCGATGGCCACTTCAAGGTAAATTTTTCAATTCTATTTTGTTTTACCCCACAGCAACAAACCCCCACCCCCATACAGCCACCATCATCTATGTAAACATACTCATTTATACTCATGCGTTGTATGTGTGTGTGTGTGTGTACGAAACATTCACATTCATGTATTAATTCGATTTGCTTATGCTTTTTTTTTTGTCTAATTTAAATTTTATTTGGGTTTTTATACTCTGAACTAATGGGGTTATACGGGTTGTACGGCCTGTATATAGCATTAAAGAATATCCGGAAAATTATATATATAAAGTCTTGAATATCCAATTGTCCGTCTGACTGAGTATTTGGAAGAGCTGGAAACTTGTTTATAATATATCATACTCATAATCCTACGTTTTATAATTTCTAAAGAAATATCCTCTCTGATTAACTCTATCTTAAATGGTAGTTTGTTTGCTTTTAACATAACTTATAGACTGTAAATGCTATAACATTCCGATTTCGTATATAAACTCTCTGTTATTAAGCAGAAGAGAAACTTAAATCTTTTTCGTATAACCTTAATTTTATTTTTAAAAATGTTCTTTATCTTTAAACTCACTCGCAAATTAGTTCTGAGTATCTAATAGTCGTTTCTGCTCGACTAGCGCACGCCTAATTGCCTCTTCTCTATTTGCACTTAAAACCTTTCCATCTTTCGATTTCCGTTGCTTCAATTACATTTATAATTCATGTATTTATTTATTTATACCTTACGTACTTTTGGGCATGTTTCCAATATTTATTTGTCGCGCTTGACATTTAAAATGAAATCAGCGAAAGATCGCCCCAGATTAAATATAGAACACTCAAAATCTGTACAGAAACATACATCTGTATATCCAACAACTATATAACTAGATATACTGACATAAAACACAGTTAGCCAGTTAAGGTTCCCGTATATATAATTCTTGCTAAATCTATTAATCAAATACAGAGATATAGCTGGTTGTCTGACATTGACATTGTAATTAACAACAATTCGATATAATCTTTAGAATGTTTTGGCGTAAGCAACTTGTTGAGCTTACATTGGAAACTGGTTTCAACCAGTTTGCGGGCTTTTCTCAATGATTTCGAATATTCGCACTTGTGACGTCACGCGCCACTAAATTTAGCATAGATAAGCGAAACAAAAAAGAAAAGCGATTGCCAGACCAGACCAGAGCAGACAACAGCTGGCGTTGATCTATCTATATAGCTAGGCTACATAGTCTATATAGTGTCTATACGCATCTAGTATAGAATTATTTATAATTAATTTGCGTAGAGTATTCAAAAGTGCTTTTTAGTATTATTTGGTCACATTTTTTCGTTTTTCATTTTACGTGACATTCATAATTTGTGCGCGTTTTTGGCGCGTTTTTAAACGCGTCAAATTGAACAATTTATTGCATGTATATTTTAGCTGTAGATTATAGAGCAGCAAAACAAAATATTCTCACGCGCTCGCTTAACAATTAGCAATTACAAGTATTTAGGCATATTCTGGATAGCTCATATATATATCTATATACTAACTGAATGGGGTAAGTTTGAAAGCGTGTTATATATAACAACAACAACAACAATGACACACGACACCACAAATTTTTCTCCTAACCAAACAATTTGGCTTATGGTCTATACAACACTCTACGCTCTTCGAATCGGTTCTGGCTTGAAGTAAATCGATTTTTGTCTTGGCTTTTTGGGTTAATTGCACCGAATTCACTCATCAAATATTTAATACTAATTTTTGTTACTTATTCTCTAACAATTTGGTCAACAGTCAAGACGCAAGATGCCGACCAAAGCAGCTAAGAAGGAGAACTTGGATGATCTCAAACAGGAGTTGGATATTGACCATCATAAAATCTCTCCTGAGGAAATGTACCAGCGTTTCCAGACACATCCTGAAAATGTAAGACACACTGTTGCATAATGTCTCATAAATTTCTTTTGCTAAAGTTTGTTATCTTTCTTTACGCTCAGGGTCTGAGTCATGCCAAGGCTAAGGAGAATCTGGAACGTGATGGTCCCAATGCGCTAACACCGCCCAAGCAAACACCCGAATGGGTGAAGTTCTGCAAGAATCTGTTTGGCGGCTTTGCCATGCTGCTGTGGATCGGTGCTATACTTTGCTTTGTCGCCTACTCCATTCAGGCGACAACCAGCGAGGAGCCATCCGACGATAACTTGTATCTGGGTATTGTACTTTCCGCTGTGGTCATTGTGACAGGCATTTTCTCATACTACCAGGTAAACTGCGAGTCTGCTTCCGATTGATCTATGCTTACTCATTCCTCTTTCCTTAATTTGACTTGTAGGAATCGAAAAGTTCGAAAATTATGGAATCGTTCAAGAACATGGTGCCCCAATTCGCTACTGTTATTCGTGAGGGCGAGAAATTGACGCTGCGCGCCGAAGATCTCGTCTTGGGCGATGTTGTTGAGGTGAAGTTCGGCGATCGTATTCCCGCCGACATCCGCATCATTGAGGCGCGCAACTTTAAGGTGGATAACTCTTCGCTAACTGGTGAATCGGAGCCGCAATCGCGTGGCTCTGAGTTCACGCACGAGAACCCCTTGGAGACCAAAAACTTAGCCTTTTTCTCGACCAATGCCGTCGAGGGCACTGCCAAGGGTGTTGTCATCAGCTGTGGCGATCACACTGTCATGGGTCGCATTGCTGGCTTGGCTTCCGGTCTGGATACCGGCGAGACTCCCATTGCTAAGGAAATCCATCATTTCATCCATTTGATCACCGGCGTTGCTGTGTTCCTGGGCGTCACCTTCTTTGTGATTGCCTTCATTTTGGGCTACCATTGGTTGGATGCCGTCATCTTTTTGATCGGTATCATTGTCGCCAACGTACCGGAGGGTCTGCTGGCCACTGTCACCGTGTGCCTGACCCTGACTGCCAAGCGTATGGCATCGAAGAATTGTTTGGTCAAGAACTTGGAAGCTGTCGAAACATTGGGCTCCACCTCCACCATCTGCTCTGATAAGACCGGCACACTCACCCAAAACCGCATGACAGTCGCCCATATGTGGTTCGATAACCAGATCATTGAGGCCGATACCACTGAGGATCAGTCGGGTGTTCAATACGATAGAACCAGCCCTGGATTCAAGGCGCTCTCTCGCATTGCCACTCTCTGTAACCGTGCCGAGTTCAAAGGTGGTCAGGATGGTGTCCCAATTCTGAAGAAGGAAGTCAGCGGCGATGCCTCCGAGGCTGCTCTGCTCAAGTGCATGGAACTGGCTCTCGGCGATGTGATGAACATTCGCAAGCGCAACCGCAAAATCGCCGAAGTGCCATTCAACTCCACCAACAAGTATCAAGTGTCCATTCACGAGACCGAGGACCCCAACGATCCACGTGTTCTGCTGGTCATGAAGGGCGCACCCGAGCGTATTCTCGAACGTTGCTCGACCATCTTTATCAACGGCAAGGAGAAGGTGTTGGACGAGGAGATGAAGGAGGCGTTCAACAATGCCTACATGGAGCTCGGTGGACTCGGTGAGCGTGTGCTCGGCTTCTGTGATTTCATGCTGCCCTCCGATAAATACCCAACTGGTTACAAATACAACACCGACGACATCAACTTCCCCATTGACAATCTGCGTTTCGTTGGCCTAATGTCCATGATTGATCCCCCACGTGCCGCTGTGCCCGATGCCGTGGCCAAGTGCCGTTCGGCCGGTATCAAGGTCATCATGGTCACTGGCGATCATCCAATTACTGCCAAAGCCATTGCCAAATCTGTCGGCATCATCTCCGAGGGCAACGAGACCATCGAGGATATTGCCCAGCGTCTCAACATACCCATCTCAGAGGTCAATCCACGCGAGGCTAAGGCTGCTGTTGTCCATGGCGCCGAGCTGCGTGATGTGTCGTCCGATCAGCTTGATGAAATCCTACGCTATCACACCGAAATTGTCTTTGCCCGTACCTCGCCCCAGCAGAAGCTCATCATCGTCGAGGGTTGCCAGCGCATGGGCGCCATTGTGGCTGTCACCGGTGACGGTGTCAACGATTCACCTGCCCTGAAGAAGGCCGATATTGGTGTTGCTATGGGTATTGCCGGCTCCGATGTGTCCAAGCAGGTGGGTGTCTAAGACTCATTTCAATTCAACTGTCTTCGATTAGGAATATGCAAGTCGAACATTGCAATGAGAACTCTAACTGATTTGATTAAATTTTTTATAGGCCGCTGACATGATCTTGTTGGATGATAACTTTGCCTCCATTGTCACTGGTGTTGAGGAGGGTCGCTTGATCTTTGATAATTTGAAGAAGTCCATTGCCTATACACTTACCTCCAACATACCCGAGATTTCGCCCTTCTTGGCCTTCATCCTGTGCGATATACCACTGCCACTCGGTACCGTCACAATTCTGTGCATCGATTTGGGCACTGACATGGTAAGTTTGCCTACAGCTTAACCCTCGGACTACCACTAATGTTAACTATGCTAACCCGCTTAGTGTTACGAGCAAGTTAAATGATAATATTATGCCTAGCTATCTATACACTCGCAGTCAAGTCAGTTAGCTACTTAAGTTATTGTTCTCTCTATAACTGTATGTATATATAACGTGTGTTGTAAATTGAATAAAATTGTGCTGCCTGCTGGGCAGATACCAGCCATATCGCTGGCCTACGAGGGACCCGAGGCGGATATTATGAAGCGACGTCCACGTAATCCCGATGTGGACAATCTAGTCAACGAGAGGTAAACTGCAGCATCAAACAGTTCCCAACTACGCTGTAAATTAACAATTAGGTTTGCCAGCTAGCTGCCAAGCACTAGGCTAATATCTAAACAAACAAAATTAATGAACCTATTTGTAGTTTAAGTATTTTGGTTTAGTATAATTCTCAATTCTAGTCGAATCCACAGACACGTACACACAGAATCTGTATGATCTGTATTATGTGAGCTACTTTGTATACCGAATTGTGAAAACGTTTTGCTAATATTACCAACTACAATAATCCACAAATCCAGGTGCCAGCCATTTCATTGGCCTACGAACATGCCGAAGCCGATATTATGAAGCGTCCGCCACGTGACCCATTCAACGATAAATTAGTGAACTCAAGGTGCCAATCAAGTCAATTTCTCTACCCCACACTTACACATACTCACACACACACACATACACACATATGCACATTTTAAAAAAGATTAACAAAAAGAATGAAAGTAATACTTAACAATAATCTCGCGCAAACATCATAAACTATAACTAATCGATGTCTGTGTATGTGGCTGGATTGTAATTAGCATAAACGTTAAAAACTAAACAAACAAACAAAAAAAAAAAAAAAAAAAAACAAATGAGAATAACTCTCAAAAGCGTACAACAAATATCAAACTAACAAAGTTTACTAAACAACAACTAACTGTTAAGATTATCGTTTATCGATAAACACCTATCGATAGCATTTTTGTAGCATAAATATACATATATAAATACCGTTCGAGTTTTAAATCATCTCCACTTTTTAATTCATATATTCTTTTCATTATAATTTATCGATAATACAGTATCGATGTCATTTTTGTAGCATATACATGTGGCCTTTAAAATCATGGTAACTTCAAGCATTTTAATGCATAAATTCCCCTTTAGATTATCATTTAACATTTACTGATAGATATCTATCGATCGAATTATGTAACATAATGCCTATCCGAAAACAAATCGTCTCCATTTGAAACATAATCATCCAATGATTCTTAATTAATATAATAACCCAACAATTATCGGTGTGCTGTTATCGAAAAGAATTCCAACTCATATATATATTAAACCTGGTCGATACACATACATGTATCGATGACTTTTAACCTCATTTCATTTCCATATAGATCGTACATTATATTAGCACTTAACCTAATTGTTCTTCTTGGCTCTCGTTTACATTTTCACACCATACAACATGATATTTTACAAAACATTAGTTTTCTTCCTTTTTCGTTTGTATTGTAAAATTGGCCTATGTGTAAATTGAGTACAGTTCCAAACAAAAACAAAAACAACAAAAATATCGATTCGCCTCTATTCAAAACTGCTCTAAATGTTAATTGGTGTGCGTTGGTTGTAACTGTTTTTATGTTTCACTCACTGCCAAATTGATTCACAAGTTTTCTTATTTTTTTTTCTTTTATCTTATGTTTAATTAACAAAAATTAACAATTGTTCTCACGTACATATTTGAGCATTCTAAACAATTAATTGATTGGCATTTAATATTTAGTTTTCTATGCAAAAAAAAAAAAAAGTATTCAAAATTAACTGCACACAAAAATCTGTAGCAAATAGTAGCATATATGTATATACATGCATATATATATACATTAACCATATTCCAAAATGAAAAAACAATGTTTCAAAATTAAAAAACAATATATTTATAATTTAATTTTAAGTTCTACTTTAATTTATTCTTCAACTATTTAATTTTGCCACACGATTCCACTGTGATCTCATCGAAATGCTCTGCTAAGTTAGCTTTAAGCCAGATCTTAAGTATAATATATGATATATCTATATATAGACTATAAGTGAACTGCGCGTCAATGGAATTCATACTGGTCGCATTCTCGTTGCCCAAATTACAGAGACAGAGAGAGAGAGGGAGAGGGAGATAGTGATATATAAGTTTGCATAATTTATCATATTTTTTTTTATTTTTTATTCCAAATATCCGGTTTGTGTTTTGAAAAAAAAAAAAACAAAACCAAAAACAAAATTACAAACAAAAAATGCTCGCACGCTTAGGTGCCAGCCATTTCCTTAGCCTATGAGACAGCTGAGTCTGATATTATGAAACGCCAGCCCAGGAATCCCTTTCAAGATAAACTCGTCAACGAAAGGTAAAGTTTTTCTTTGTGCTCAGCAAACAAACAACAAGAAACAAAACAATCAAAACCAATACTACAACAAAATGAAACATGAAATAAAAAAATCCATATTTATATATACACAAACTAAAACTAAAAGTCAAAAGTTAAAGTAAAAGTAAAAGAGTGAGCTGCAAATGAACAACAATTTCTTTACAATTTTTTCTCAACTCACGTAAACTCAAAGAACATTTTTTCGGTCTAGTTTTGAACGCAAAGTACGCTCAGCCCTAAACAAAGTTCTTACTACGAACTAATATTCGTCTATTTAAAACTCTATTTTCAATTAGCTTCAAATATATCTAAAAACAATTTTTAGCCTAAAGTAAAGTAACTATTGATTTGTTTTTTATTTGAATGTTTCATTTTTTGATGTTTTGTTTTTCTTTCTTCCCTTCTTTCTGATAACATTTTATGTTAAATGTTTAGCATTGTTTTATATTATTATAATTTTTTTGTTAAATGTTTTATGTTTTCTTCGATGTTCTCTTCTCTTATTCTATTTCTCTTTTGAGTATCAGCTAGTTAAATGTTAACGTAATATTTGAACAGTTCTCTCTAGTTCTTTATTATGTTTATCTTTCTATATATATTCATATATACTTTCTCTAGTTTACAATTCGACTATAGCTCAAACACTCTCCAATATATCTCAATTTCGACAAGCACTTCGAGCTGATCTAGTTGAACTACTACTTCGAGTATTCTTCACTGGGCTTTAGGCCATTTACACTTGAAATATTTTCGAAAATTTGAATTCAATTTATCATTTATTTGATTCAATTTCATTTGATTGAAAATAATTTAGCCTTCTCTTTAGTTTCTCTACTATTATTATGCAATGATATAATACTAACTTTTATGCGCTTACTCGTATTCCAATATAAATACATATATATCTATATCTATATACAATAGCTACAATTTAATTAACTCATTTTCAATTTATCTTTTTGCAAATCTTAAAAAACAAACTCAAACTAAAAGTCAAAGTGAACAAAAAAAGAAAAACACAAAGAAAAACTATTTGAAAAATATATTCGTATGATACATATATATACAAATATATATATATCAAAATATATCTGAACGATCTTCTCTATGCATAATGCACTGCACTTGGAATATACATGAGGAAATATTTCGTCTAAAATTTTTCGCTCAATCACATTCAATCAAAATGATTTGGCGTGCTCTAGCTGCTTCCTTTTTTCCAACTCTCTTCTTCATATAATCTTTGCTTAACTCTATATATATCACTATATATATATTTTTCTATCAATTTCTACTCTGGGTGCTCAAGAAACTTCTTTGCTTGTTCCACTCAATCTTAATTTTATTTATTGTATACCATCAATCGACATCAATTTTGACCCTGAATCGAGTTTCTGATTTCCTGTAAGGAAGGTAAGTCCCTCTACGTTGCCCCATTCACAACTGAAAGCTGATGAAGCAGAACGCGTTGTATACTACTTAGTTTCGATCTCTCTACATATACATCTATGTATATATAATGAGAAAACGTAACTTATTTATTACTACTAGAGTCAGGTTTAACTATAAAACTATATAATTAGTCTACGAGTTATTTTCTACTTCTAATGCTAACTACTGTATATTGTATATTTTATGCATTTCTTAGCAGTAGTTAAATGTCATCAAGCCATGTCAATCACAATCAGTCAATCATTTGTGGAGACCCTAGTCAGTCGATCAATCAAACTCATCAGACTTCAATCTACATCCAAAAACTTTCTTTTGTCATTTTTTGTTGTTGTGTGTGAAACACATCAACTGGCTCTATTTTTCCTAGTCCTAACTATATATACATACATATATAAATACTAAATACTGATCTAGTGCAAGTTAAGTTCTAAGCAAACTCTATATATATACACACATATATATAGATACACGAATACTCCACTCTTGTAACTCTATAACAAGTCGATGTTTTGTTACTCGGTTGCTCGATTTTGCTGCCCAGTGTAGTATATTTTAGCTTCATAAGTACGCAGAAGCTAAATACAATTACACTAAACACGAAACCAAACGGAAATACCATAAAAAAATACCAACTGACACATCTACCAAATGCAACCGAACCTCTATCTCTTATCTAAGTACTTACTATATAACTAAAATATATATGTATATGAGAAACCTATCTTAGCGCATATAAATAATTTTTTTTTAGTATATAACAAGTATTTATTATATACCTACAAATTGCCAAGCTAAAGATTATTCGTCAAACTTTAACCAAGATTTTTCCTTTTCGTATTTTTCCCCCTTTTTACACCAATTTTTTCTTTACAAATCTTTTATTATGTCTTTCTTTTTGATTCAATCAAATCAAAAAATAAAAAAAAAATATACTTGAAAAATTGCACAAACTAAAATTAATGTACCACCAAAACAATACTGAAAACTATCGAAAACAAAATACCAATATAATACCGCAAGATACCGGCCATTTCACTCGCTTACGAGCAAGCCGAGAGCGATATTATGAAGCGTCAGCCGAGAGATCCATACCGCGACAACTTGGTAAACCGCAGGTCAGGACAAATCATTAACGATAAGGAATTTAAAAACCAAAATACAAAAAATACCAAAACAAAAAATTTCTTAAGAATATTACGTTTAGTTGTTTAGTTGAACAAATTTTAGATAAATGAAACAAAACATGCAACCCCCATTTCTTCTTTTTTAACATGTTTCAAATTTGACATTTGACCTTTGTTTGAGTTGTGTGTGTGTGTGACAACTGTTACCCAAAGTCCAAAACCTAACCAACCTCGAATCCAACCGAACAATTTGGCTAACAATCTGAAGAATATTTCTGAGAAAAACACACACGAAATTTTGGTGTTAATCGAAAAAGAGGAATTGAAGTTCGGCTAGCCGAATATCAATACTCTTGCAGATCGATATATGAGTTGTTAGTTATAGAGAATGACATAGAGCTAGATTACAAATAGCTTTTGACTATGTCAACTAAGTTTAGGTCTAGTTGACTGAAGATATGGAAAAACTGTCTATATAATTTATCTGACTGTTAGTTTCTAAATTTGATATCGGAAGTATATATATTATATGATTATATGATTGACATCATACCACAACAAATTTGGGGTATACGTAGATGGGTTAAGGAAGATTGATTTGATACAGAAAAGATTGGGAAACTTTTTGGAGTCATAAATGTCATAAATGTATATAGAAATTATCAGCTCTATCGAGAAGAGTTCCTCTGCAAGACTATTGATAAAATAATGTGTTTGTTGGTTTTGCTGATGCATTTATTGTTTTAAGCATTTCAATGTTTTATTTTGTTAAATTTTCATTTCTAAACTCTTAAAGTTTTTGAAAATTTTTTAAGACTTAACATATATTAACAAAATATATATATACATCTGTTATAATTTCGATTTCTTTCTGTGAGCTCTTAATGTGGAATGAAAACAAATTTAAACAAATTGTTCACTATAAATTTCGTTTGTGTTTTCAAAATTCTAAAAAGAAAAAAAATCTTTTCCATATGGTATATGAAAATTCGTTAACTGTTATTCGTTGATTTTCACAAAATTTTCAAATTTTCCCATTTTCATGTGTGTTAAATGTTTTTGGAAAATCCGTGTTTTGATTTCTTTTGAATCTCTATAAACAATTTGCATCAATGTTTTGTGTGTTAGTCGCACAATCAATGATTTATCAATATATCATATTTATATCTATAAGGGTTATCAGTTTGATAATACGCTTCTAGAACTTGTTCTGGGACATAGCTGCTGCATAGATAGCGCCCACACACACACACACACACACCCACACACACATGACATAACTTAAACTGAAAACTTAGACAACAAAATAAAACAGACAAAAAAGCGAAGCTTTTCTGCCGTTACTTTTAGCCCAGTTAGTGCGTTCTATATATAATATATATATATATATATAGTAGATGAGTCGAGCAAATACTTTATATATATATATATAAATCAAGCTTCTGTTGCGTTCTACCTAGTTAAACACACATATATAGCCACTATATAGCCAAGTCTGTTGCCGCAATGTCCTCACAGTAAGTCTCTATGTGGGCTCGTCCTCTAACCAACAACAAATGGACTTTACTTCTTTTTTTTTTTTTTTTTTTTTTTTTTTTTTTAATATTTATTTGTAAGTCTATGTATAACTTATATGTTTATCTATAAGTTGTATTTTTTTTTTTGGTTCTATGTTTTTTCCTTCAGAAACTTGTTTAAGCGTAAGTAAAAAAAAAAAAAAAAACAAACAAACAAACAACTTTAGCTGCATTTTGCTTTTATAGTTTTGGATACAGCTCGCTACTTGCATGTGTTCTTGCACCCAAATACCCTGTAATATATGTTCATAGTCTATGTCTTGCTGCATGTTTTAACACTCACAAAATGTAGAAATTAACCATAAGAACTTTGCTTTTCACCTGAACAAAAAACCAAAAACAAACAAAGAAAACGATTCTTTGCGCTCTCACGCTTAACTAAAAACGCGCTTTATTAAAAATTAAAAAAACAAAAAACAAAAACTAAATGCAAAATCCAATATATATCTAATACATAATACAATCCACGCTATATTCTGTAAAGTCAAACACAAACAATTTCATTCATTTGCTTCAAAGTAACGAAAAAGTAATTTATTTTTAAGAGCTTAAAGGTAAAATGGCATTCTCTATACAGTTACTAACTCTGAATATCCGAATTGCATACCAAAATTATATATCATATGGAGAAATATGATATGCTACAAGCCCATGGGTTGCTCAAGGTTTTTAGCTATATTTTTATTATTATTTTATTTAGTTCTGCACAAAAAACTTATTGTTTGTTAAATATATATATAAAATAAAAATATAAACAAAAATTGGTATTAAAAATATATATTTTTTGAATAATTTTGAAAATATGATTTTTAATAAAAATTTTGCCTTAATTATAATTCTAATATTCCGTCTTCAATTTGAAGTAAATTTTGGTTCATTTGATCAAATTTTCACGCTTAATTTTATTTTAAAATTTACGATGCACAAAAACCTTGAGCAATTTCTAGCTATAATGCCCGATCTTTAATGCTCGCTAAGACTTGTCTTACAACCTAAAAATGAAATTAAAAAAAAAAAAAAAAAAAGAAAACCATCAACAAATCCACACAAAATTTTAAAGAAAAAAATAAATTCACATTTTGTAACTTATTTAATTTTGTTTGCCTCTCGTTTCGTTTGATTGTTACGCGACCCTTAAAAATCCAGATTGATTTCCATGGCCTATGGACAAATTGGCATGATCCAGGCAGCAGCCGGTTTCTTTGTCTACTTTGTGATTATGGCTGAGAACGGTTTCCTGCCCATGAAACTGTTTGGCATCCGTAAGATGTGGGACTCCAAGGCTGTCAACGATCTAACTGACTCGTATGGTCAGGAATGGGTGAGTAGATCTATGAATATTATTTGATTGGCTGACTCAAGCATAGAATGAATGTAATTTTGAGCTTGATCTCTATTATAAGATTGAAAAGTTTTAAACTGATGATGATATTATATCTTATGAATTAAAAATTTTATTTTCTAAAAATCATCTTAAGCTTAAAAGATTTAGGTTTTACGGTGCTTAAGCTGACATACGCTAGGTGGCGCTCTGAGCAGTCAGTCAATGAAGCATTCCGTCAGTCAAATAGTTATTCAAGCAGTATATTTTTTTTAAATTAAATTAAATTATATAATTAATAATTTTGGTTACTAATATATGTGTTATCCCCCCGATCTTTATCAGACTTATCGCGATCGCAAGACCTTGGAATACACCTGCCACACCGCGTTCTTCATATCGATTGTCGTAGTACAGTGGGCCGATTTGATCATTTGCAAGACGCGTCGCAACTCCATATTCCACCAGGGCATGCGCAACTGGGCCCTCAACTTTGGCCTCGTCTTTGAAACGGTGCTGGCTGCCTTCCTCTCCTACTGCCCCGGCATGGACAAGGGTCTGCGCATGTATCCCCTGAAGTGAGTGAAAGCACAATATGAATGCAAAAATGAATATACTAAACTGATATTATTTTTCGGCTATTGTCTATAGACTCGTCTGGTGGTTCCCAGCCATTCCATTCATGTTGGCCATCTTTGTGTATGATGAGACTCGTCGCTTCTATTTGCGTCGCAACCCCGGCGGCTGGTTGGAGCAGGAGACATACTATTAAACACTCACACATATACACATACACGTACACACACACACAATCCACACACACCCGCAGCAAAGGCAACAAATAGTAATTGTTTATTTAACACAACAACAACAAAGCAACAACCGCAACTTGCAACCAACAGCGAAACACACAGAACTCTGTGCAACAAAAGCTATAAAAAGAAACATATTGCAATATGTTTGAAATTTTAATTTAATTATTTAAAGTAAAAAAAATACAAAAAAAAAAAAAAAAAAACAAAAACAAAAAACAAAAACAAAATGCAAGCGATAATTATTTTAAACATTTAAGTACATTTAAATTATAAATTAAAGCTAAAAATAAGGTTTAAATAAAAACAAATAAAGTAAAAACTACAACAAAACGAACAACAAACAACTTTCGACAACAACAGCAACTGCAACTGCAACCAGCAACAACAACAATAACCTAACAAGTTTTTAGTAAAATTATTTAATAAAAACCAACAAAAAATTAAAAAAAAAAAAAACAATGCTAATAAATACAAATATTTAAGAGAAATGAAAGTGCGCCTAGAATCCGAAGCAAAGCAAAGCTAAAGCGCAACTAATATAATATATAAACATACTCTACAAAACATACACCAACACACTCACAGACACACACCACGCATGAAGAGACAAATTATATAAGAAGTTTAGAGAAATTAATAAAAAAAAAAATGAAAAACCGAAAATTTTGACAAAAAAAGAAGAACGAAACAAAACAAATGAATAAATTAGCGTAGTTACAAAATAAGCAAAGATACAACAACAACAACAACAACTTGTGGAAAATTTGGTGGGGCAAGCGGTCAAAGCGAATAAATAAAGAAGGAGACAAACAAAAACCAAACACAATTAATATAATTGTTTATATATATACAAACCAACCACTCACACATATATTATATGGAAATTCGATTATATAAATGGAGCTATAAAAAAGTTTAGACGCTGGGTAACGGAATAACGGCACGTGACATGCCAATCATGCTCTGGCTACAGGGTATTTGGCAGTCTATCAGCGAAAGAACGGAATACAATTTGTTATATGTGAAGTAAAAGTTTATATATAAAAAAAAAAACAACAACAAAAACTAAATAAATAAAAATAAATTAAATATTTATGCTTTGTGTGCATTTTAAGCGCCCCCTCCAGAACAATAAAAGCAAATCAACCTAAATCTCACACTAACACACACAGCGCCACGCCCACAAATTTGAATGTTTGTAACGTGTTAACACGGCACAGCCTAAAAACAACAAAGAACTAAAACGAAACAAAATGGCGGCACGCCCAAGGCAGTAGCAGTATAACAGTATTGTGTTTCATTTATCGTTTTCAATTCTCTCTCGTATAACTTACGCTTAACACACACACACATACACGTACACTGCAAAAAAAAAGTTGGGGTGTGACTTTGGCTAATTGCGAAATTGTGAAAAAGAAAATCTGCTGAATAGATGTTCAGCAATTCAGTCAACAGTCAATCAATCAGTCACACCCCGAAATATATAAATTTATTGCCTGCCTCAGTGGAAAACCAACAAAACTTCGACTCATTGAAAAATTTGTAAAATAAATGTGTTAAGCATTTTCTACAAATCGATCGATCAGTCCGTTAGGCAGTCAGTCAATCACATAAAAAAAGAAGGAAACAATACGCCGCTGCTTTTTCAACTAGTTTTTTGGTTTGTTTAATACAAAAAAGAACAAAAAAAAAAAAGGAAAGAGTTTTTTGTTTAATGATTTCCAATGGGAAATTCATGGCATGTTAGTTATGACAAACGAAACAAAATTATTATTAGTTGTTAACAAATTATATTGATTAATAATAAAAATAATAATATAATAATGAAGATAATAACAATGCATATTGTTGTTGATGTGAAACGAAAATAAAAACAAAAATTATATAAAAACTCATAACTCCAACAAAAAATATTTATAAAAATTCTATAAAAATAAACAAAAAAACAAACAAAATATACCTTGGATCGAATAGCAAGCAACAAGCAGTTATGGCATAACATTCGCATACGATATAATATGTAACAACAACAACAAAACAAAAACAAAAAATTGATAAACATGAGAGTAAACATTTTTAATTTTTTGTTCTTTCGCCCTCCGCTGTAAATGTATTTGTAGATTTAAACAATGATTAAAATAAAAAACTACATAAATAAAACTTAAAAAAAAAAAACAAAATAACTGTATTTCATTTACTAACAGAATTAAGAGTAAATTGTGCTCTTGTTTTTCGAGTGTATAAGGCATGAAGTGGGAGTGAGTGAGAGCAAAGGAGTGAGAGCAGCAACAGCATGAATCGCTCAACCGATTGATCCCGCTATGTCAAAAGTGACTGTGTGAGGTGTTCGTGCTCTCAAACGTAAATGTGTGGGTGGACTCGTCCGCTTAGCACAGAAGACGAAAGTAACTGGGCAAATTAGTCTGTGCGCGTCTGCCCAGTAGATCAGTCGTAGAGGAGCGTATTTATGCTGTCTATTATATGTGTATGTCTCCATGTATGTGTGTGTGTATGCTGTGATTTACTACGCTAACAAAGTGGTCTTAAATGGCACAGGAATAGAGAGGAAATAGGAAAGAGGGAGAAAGCTTGATAAAGTCACAGCATTGTGCTCTTTTGCTAACACACACGTTAACATAAATACATCTATATTTAGCCTATTCATCCTTTTGCTCTCTCTCATTTCATGTGCCTGCAGATGCAATATGATTTTGTCAATGCACTTGTAACGAAACATTCTTATGGATGATTGATTATATTACACTTGACACTTTGTAGAGTCTAAATTAAAATTGCATGTATTTTAAAATAGATATTTTTTCATTATAATTATAATTAATAATATATACCGCGATCTTATTAGGAAAGGGCATTCAGTATTCACTGCGCTGACAAAGTTTTTACTTTACATTTTTGTTTCCCTTTGCTTTTTGTTGCTGTTGTCCTTTTTCTGAATTTGTTTGCAAAGGGTCGCTTGGGTCTTATTAATTTCCGTTTTGCTTATTTATTTTGATGATGTTTCGCGGGTGTTTTCACTTTATTTTAATTTTTTTTTTTAACTTTGGGTACAGTTGAGAAACTGCGTCAACCCAAAAACCTTAAAAAAGGTGTGCTCGTATTTAATAAGTGTCTATAGCTCTGATAATTACAGTTAAGCAGACAGCAAGTACAATTGCTCTAAAGCATTGTAATATCTTAAAGATAACTGTTTTAGATAAGGCTATTACTCCATTGACGTAGAGGCGCAACTTTAAGTACTGGATATATGTATATTTTGTATTTTTTATGAGACTGAAATTAAGGTTATTAAAAAAGAATGGGCATTTTTAAAGTTCACAAAACTTTTGTATAACCAGTAGGTATAGAAAAAATGATTTATCTACAAAAAGTTAAATCTTAAAACATTTTTAAAATTGAAATAATATATAGTCTAGAGAATAGTCGACTCGTTATAATTAAAAAAATAAAGAGTTACCAGAAAGCCGTACAGCTCAAATTTGCTTTGTTACAATATATTCATTAACTGAAATTCTCAAATTCTACTACTACATTACCAAGTTACATTTCAAACTGCATATGCAGCAGTGGCGTAGCGCACACGCGAAATACGAAAAGGAACAAGACCTCTTTTCCAATAGACTTAACACGGGCGTCAAAAACTTGCGAGCTTGCTTGTCTAAGCAGCGGGAGGGGGAGGCAGTCAATGCTCAAGCCCACTGCTCATTCCACATGTTGGCGTGGCGGCCCCCTCGCACACAATGCGCCGCGGGGACAGCTGCATTGGGAGAGCGCGCTAATAGAGAGTGGGCAGCATAGAGAGAGAGAGAAAGAGAGAGGGAGAGCAAAGTGCTGTTATCGCTGCGCGTGTTTCATTGCCAAAACGTTTCTTATCCTGTGCGCCTGTGTTTTGTTCGGCGTTTTGTTATCTATGGCCGCGTTTCATGTTCAGCCATTCGTAACATTCGTCTGCGACGCGAAGCCGTGCTCGTTTTCGTGTTCACCTTCGGCTACAGCAGTCGGCCAGTGGGTTATTCGGCCTGTAGTGTTCGGGTCGGCAGCGGCGGCAGCGACAGCGATAGCGACAGTCTTTCATTATCCGGTGCACGAGCGTGTCACGTTTTCGCATGATACGCAACGAACGACGCAGCCCAAAACAACAACAAGAACAACAATAACAACCATTTGATACAACAATAACAACAACAACAGTGAATGATAAAAGCCGTTAACTGTGCTTCTACTATTTTTAGTAGTGCCAAACGCTGCGAGTGCTTTACTATTTTTACTACAAGTGAGAAAGTTAACCACGCACACGCAAACACACACACCAGACACACACAGGCATACCGTTAAATACAACAACAACAAAAGAGCTTTGAGCAAATTTTGATTGGTTCAATTTCGGGCATACGTTTGGTCAAGTGTTTGTGCGTGCTTGCGTGCGACAACAACAACAAAAACAACAACTGCAACAGTGTGTGCAACCAAAACTAGGCTAAACAGCCTTTGCATACTTTTGGGCGCAAGCATAAGCCCAGGACACACACGCAGCGCGAGAGCGAGAGAGATAGCGAGAGCGTGAGGCAGGAGAAGAGCTCGCAGGTCGCCGACATTTGAACCTGCTGACCGGCAGGCAATTTGTGTTCTCTCAGTTGTTGTTCTTGTTGTTGTTGTCCTGTCTACAATTCATATATTTATATATATATATACTTTACATATATGTATATACATATATATATATAGCTGCGCTTCTTTTTTGGCAAACGTGAGATGAAAAATGTGCAATAACACGTCAGCAGCAGCCGCAGCAGCATCAGCAACAATAACAACAACCAGCAGACTCAAGTGAAACAGACGCGAACACGAAGAATAAAAAAAAAGCATAAAAAAGAGTTCAGCTTGCTTCGACGGTGCAGTTCAACAGCCCTCGGGGCTCAGAAAAAATAAAAACGCCAATTTCGTCTTTTTTTGGCCAACTCTGCGGCCGAGGCTGCAGCTGGTCCGTCGTCCCGGCTACTCGTGCGTGTGTATCCTGCAGCAGCAGCAGCAGCAGCATCAGAATTTGTGTCAGCGTCAGCAGCAGCAGCAGCAGCAGCCACTTCTGCAGCAGGGCGTGTGGCGCCTCAATGCTCACTAGCCGGTAATTTATGCAACTCTCAATGCAGACAGCTACTTGCAACTGTTCGCGGCGCCAGCATTGACAAAAAAAAAAAAAAGAAAGAAAAAAGAAATGAGCATAAAAAAAAAAAACGCAACTAAAAAGCCCATTACGCATACGCCCAGGCTTACCTTGACAACGGCTGCGGCTTCTGCTGAGCTGTTGCGAGCGCGTGACAGTTGCTAGTTTGTTGTTCTTAGATACCCCGCAAAATGCTAAGTGTTTAAAAATGGGGTATATACATACATGCATGCATATGTATATTGAAATTTATTTGACAATCGATAAATATTGCTTCGTTTTTTTACTGTTTTGGGGAATATCAATTATGGAATATAAAAGCACAACAATTTATATGTTAATAGGCAACATCTATACCTCCGGGATCAGAAATATCGATAGTTATTTAAGCCAACATGAGAATATTTGAAAGTTCTATACACATAAAGATCAATCGACGTATTTATTGATGGGCAAAACAAGACTTGCTGAACCGTTATATATCGATTGTTATAAAAGTGAAAATAATCGCATTTGTAAAATATATCAAACATATTTTTAATAAACATACCAAGCCGATATATATCGATCGCTATACAAGTGAAAATCAGATTTGCATTTTTTGAAAATCAACTTAACAATATATCTGCCATAGGAAATCGAAAGATATGAATCTTCTGCTTATTAATTCATGAGCATTTTGAAATTTTATTCCGCAAGAGTCAGTTTATAATATTTGTAGTGTTAAATATATATATTAATATTAAATTAATTACACCCATTTGCAATGAGGGTAGTTCAGTCATCAGATTTGCCCAAGCAGGTCGCATCACCATTTCCAGCGTATGTCTTAGTCGTTCACACTTCTCTCAAGTATACTCATTTTAGTGGTTTT